AGTTTTTGATTAAGATCGCAATTCATATGTGATTCTATCTCGAAAATACATAATGAGCGGCCTAGTCCTTAGTGATTAGTGAAGATTAGGTGAAACATATGGCATGCGTAGCTCAACTTTTGGTAAAGTTCATGGAAATGCTAGCAGACCGGGAAGTATTTCATGCTCCTATAGATAAGGATTATCTTCATCGGAAGATTAAATATGAATCACCACTTCTATTATCTAGCGATTAAGGTCTTAGATTTCTGGATACAGTTATATTGAAGAAGATTTTTCCGATTCCACTCAATCAACTGCAGGTACCAGAAGACAATTAGCGTCGAGGTACGTAGTCATAATTGTTTTGCACATATTTAAGCAAAATAGTTTGTATGTGTAACCTTACAGTAGGCAAGTATTTATCCTTTCGTGCACTTCAATTTGTTTAAATGAATCTGTTTATCTTTTGAGTACTTCTTTGTAGATAAATAATTTATCTGACTTAGTTTTTTTGGCAAAAAAAATAGGGTTTAATATTTCAAACTACACTATTCTTTGTCAAAGGTCAACAAAACAATGAACTGAGTTGTTCGAATTGGAAAATCTGAAGTAATCATACTAATAGAACCAAGTGCAATGTTTATGTAACTGAAAAGCAACGTCTCAATGGCATTCCATCGTCAGTCATTTCTCTGTTTCAACTGTTTATTTACATGATTATATGTCGTGTTGTATATCAAATATTTAAAAGCTTGCTTAAATTATACTTAGTTTTCAAAAATATCAGTTTTCAGCAACGGTTTTGTCGAAGAAAACTACTCTTTAGCAGAAAATCCGACAGGTCAGCTTCATTAATTCAGTTGTTTTCAGAAACTTATTTCTGATCTGAGTTATCATTTGATAAACAATGATATTTATGATATTAAATATTAACTCATATTTCTATCCATCAAATATATGAAAGTTTTTGTTGAACTGTTGTAATTAAAAAAGATGGGAATTTATCAATGAAAATGTTGCTAATAAAAAAAGAAGGAGACGAAAAAGTAAGCTGCAAATCAGTGGTGAATATAAGATGTAAAAAAATAAATTCATTACAACAATAATTTAAATGATATCTTGAACAAGAATTGCTTTTTGCACAATTTGTTGAGTTTCTCAAATATTTAAGATTTCAAATAGAGCAATTCGGATATCTGACGTAAATTAAATGTCTAATTTTAAGATCGCCTTAAAATTTATCCAATTTGGCATGATAGTGAGATGTTGATGAACTAATCTGTAAAGTAGTAATGACTGGATGGCAATGTTCTGTGTAAAGCGTATATTTATTGCTTCTGTGTGTTGGAAAGAGATTTTAAGTTTGCAATAATGCTAAAGCTAATCGCGAACTGCAGCAGCACCGCCATTGGTAACAACAGCTACATCAATGGCAATACCAGTAACTTCATCCGGACAATTATTCTCATCTACTTTACGTTCGCTATCTTCCGTATTAGAAACGGAATGTAACCCTGAATCTAATATTAATCCTCTTCCAAAAAATCCTAATAAGAATCCACTTTCACCTAATTCATTCGAGAAGTTTTCATCAAGAGCACATTTGGTATGTTTTTATCCTCAACATTCTATACTCTTTATTTCAGACTATTTAATTTTTTCTTTCAACACTTCCGCTTTCCTTTTTTTCCACTTTTATCTTGCGGATAATATAAATTTACACAATTCGCTTTCCCCAAGAAGCTTCGAGTACTAATCTTTGATCTAAACTTTTCTCAGTTAATTCTTATATTATTCGTATATCTTATAAATTTCTTCCCCATGTATGAATCATTCAGGCACTTTTATATAATTCTTCATCATCAGTTGCATTAAGTATTTAAAATGATTTGATGAAATTGTTAATGGATTAGATTGATGTTTGGTAAGCATGTGAAGCAATGCAAACTGATAAAACTGCATGGCTGTTCTGTAATTAGCAAAAATTTTTTATTAGATTTGCAAAATTGCGCAAGCTGAATGTAGACGCCAATTTGTTTCATCGTGCTAGTTTCGACATGCTACACCAATTTTTATTAATATTTAGATGCTCTTTTCGTTTTCTTCTTTCTAAACTTAAAAAGTACTGCTAGAGTTAATTTTACAACTTCAATTAAAGAACTAAGTATACAGCATTGATTGATTTGATAGTTGTTGTGTTTCGAAAATTTCCTTCGTTCGTTTTTTTGCCGACTAATGATTATCAATTTCTTTTATTCATCTTCATTGATTTCAAAAATTGTTGAAAATATTCCTATTATAATTCAATGTGATGTGTTTCTTTTTTGGAAGATATATGAAAGGAAGAGAGAAGAAAGAAGAAAGAAAATGAGGAAATACAGGAAGAGTAACTTAAAATCCATCAAATACTTTTAGCTTCCTTATGCATTTTCATCAATCATAAGGCAAAATGTTCGTTACAGCAATAGCAATAGAAAGCTTTAAAGTACATGAGAGAAAAAAGAAATATAATATTTAAGATTATTTCTAACAATATTTTCCTAACATCCTCATTTCCGAATTCTTATGCCAGTTTCCTTTCATTTTTCTTTGTTTTTTTTTTCTTTTTTCTGCCTCCAGTAAAGCTTCCACTTTCTTGTTTCAGCTGCAATTATTTGTAAATGTATGGTGATCAATAGTACCATTCATGAATGAATGTATCATCTCATAGCTTTAAAAAATGTCAAAGTTGATTCACATTTTCGTCTTCATAGTTAAAATTTTTTAATTTGTCCAAAAAAATATGCTTCTTGTATATGTATACTTAGTCCAAACTAAGTAGCTCTTTAAGATGTTTTTATTTGGATTTATGCGAGAATCTCTACAGAAATGCTAGGTGCCTGAATTCAACCGAAAAATTAAATTTCAGGTTTCCGATGAACAGAAAAAAATCTCAGAAAAACCAAAATTTCGAAATGAGAAGGTAAATCTTTGCTGAAAAATTGTTTGGTGTCATACCTGTCATCATGACTGTTTGTTTATTTGTTAATCTGTCCAGTCTGCATGTTTGTCCTGTATCTCTTTTCGATATCTCGACTATTTAGTAATTAAACAGTCAATTTTAAGATGAATTATTTATGGAGTCTGAAGTCTCTCCAACCTTGGTGTCCACAACTGGTTGTGGTTCAGGAGAAACTAATTAGTAATGGGAGTATGTTTTCAAAAGCTGAAAGCAAACCAAGAAGGTATTCTTCTGCAAATCCTTTTACCTATCATTGTGTTCATAACTTAATTGGACTGAAATGACAATGTTCTGGAATCAACTTTCAGTCATTTTTTCTTCAATTTTCAAAATATAAAAGGAGAATTTGAAAATATACGAACTGATCCACACATTTTCAATGCTATAACATCTTGTATTCTTTCCAAAAGTATTTGTTTGAATCAAATTCATCAAATGAAATTCATTAGAATGTACGGAGCACTTGAATCATACTGCCCGTATTCGAATTTTAACGAGCCATCTAAAAGTCCTGACTTAAAATCTATGGAAATGACTGCTACTCTCTTATTTATGCTCCGTTTTACTTTCAAAATCTTTTATATTCAATATTATTTGTCCTGTTACCGCCGAACAAAAATATAATTTCAGAACAAATCAAATAATATATCCAATAAAAACCTATAAAATTGTATTATTTTCTCAAAATAATGGAAATATTTCCAGTGTTGTAGTCACATGAAATTTCTTGTAGATGTGATAAGTTTTGACGCACTACAGCTGCCATAAATTTTATAATTAATATTAATAAGTTTTAACAATTTTATTATTTTAACAGGAATTACAATCATCAAGATATTGAATATTTGGATCGATTTATTAATTATGCAAATTTCAACCTTGGAAAATTATGCGGCTTTTCGTAGTTGATTCAATGTACAATGGAATTATTAGAAAGTAAAAGTAGTAATTGAATAAGTAATCAATTGATAGAAATATATAGTCTTTAATATAATATTTTAATATTCCTTTGTATTGCCACTGATTGTTGCTTTTTTCTAAGTAAATTTAACTTTTTTGATATTAGTAAGTTCATCATAAGCAAAAAAAAAAAAGGAAACTGAATGTTTCCTGAAATGCAAAGCATAATGTGGCCAATTACAGAACTGTTTTATACAGCAATAACCATTTTACAGTTTTTTGTATAGTCGTGAAGAAGGATAAAATTTTCAAAAGTTATTAGATATGGAATTTTTTTTAACTTGGAATAACCAAGATTTCGAATTATATGTTTGTTGTGGGATGAGAACTGAAAAATAATTGTAGTGTGCATTTCAGCATTTTTACATTTTCAGAAAGAGGATGAAGCGATAAACTGAAAAGTCATCAATAAAAAAAAAATGAAAAGATTCGTTATAAATGAATGTTATAAATAATTACAATTAAGAACAAATACAAATAATGTTTGTTAGTAGGCGGAAATATACTGACGAAGTTTTAATTCACAATATGGCGCATTATTAAGCATTATCGGTGTAGTAAAATGTGTGAAATGTAGTGAAGAAAAAATCGAAAAAATGTGATGAAATTTGAAATAGTTTTGGGAAGAATGCCATCAGTATTTTTTTTTTTTTTTGTTCGGCTATTGTGATAGCAACAATTACTTTGTCCTGAAAATTATTAATAGATTAATGATACTTTTCTGTTAATAAATGATGCATTTTACCCTTCAAATTCTTGGAACAAGGGGAGTAAACTGTTTGTATTTGATTTTTGCTGATTTATCCAGAATGGTTTGTTCTCTTGATTTATAAGTTGAACATTTTAATTAATTTGATTTCGTAAGTTACAAAACAATACAGTTTAAAACAAAATAAAATAATTTTAATGGCAAAGATAATGAAATGATGAACCGACAGACGTAGAGAATTTAAGAATTTTACTTCAGCTCAATCGGGTTGATGTAATTTCATCGAACAAGAGATGGGAGCGTATAATATGCTGACAATATTGTTGTAACAAATGTTTGTATTTACAGATGATGATGAGAACAGTACCACCTCGGCTACCTAAGACACCACCACCACCACCTCCATCAACGGAAATAAAAGTTAGGCCAAGAAATGGGTCTTCATCTGGTGGGACAAAGTGGACTTTGCGAACCGAAGCAAGAGATGGTGGTAACAAAAATTCGATGATGGTTAAAGTAGAAGGAGTCATTGAAATACCGAAACCTCAATCGGTTGCTTCCCTTCGTGAGCAAATTGCAAAGAAATTGGAGGTTAAAATGCCATCTACTCCACCAACTATTACAATTAGTAATGGTCATACAAAATCACCATTATGGATTTCCGGATCAAATGAACAATATCCATACGTTCCGCAACATGATGATACATCAAATTTTCAACATCTGGCAACGAAGATGTCAAAACTTAACAGCAATTCTCAATCATCCAGTAATACAACACTACAGAAACAGTTATCTGTTGTACATGAACCGGTGGAGAGGCATATATCCTGCATAACACCAGTATCATTCAATCGTACAGCGACACTTTCTTCCTCAGTTATTGTTTCTCCAAATATGCTCGATATTTATTCCAACAACACATTCGTCGCACCAGTATCCTCTTCTTCAGGTGTATTTTCATCATCACCAATCATCCACAAGCACGAGGAGAACAATGGTTGCAGTCCTTCCCTATACAATGATACAACAGCAGTTTACAACCAATTAAGCGATTACCAGAAATTGATGCCAGTCAAAGAGAGAGTTGATAATCATTCACAACGTTCCGTGCCTTCAACCACTGCTAACGCTACTATAAGTTCCCGAACGCTGAGTCCGCCATCATTCTTCGTAAACAGTCACAATAAACATAGAAATAAAATGGTTATTAAGGGCCTGGAAATACCTGTATCAACGAACCACAATGATATTATCTCGACAGATAATCTTAGAAATGATATTATTCTAACAAGTAATCATAGGACTGATATTGCTCAAGGAGTAAAAAGCCAGTTTGATGCTTCATCTTCATCAAAAATACCAACATCAACACCTCCATGTCAAATGCTTTCACAAAGTTACGATAGCAAAGGTACATCAAGTACCATGCCTCGCTATAATGCTTATACTGAAAATTCAAATTGGTACCGCACTATGTTCAAGAAAATGCATGTAGTTGATCAGTTAGGCAAGTTATTTCATGATTATTTTAATTTCAGGGAATCTTTTATCAAAACAAATTGATATACTTATTTTTCAACAAGAATCTGTGTTTTTAAAATAACTAAAATTTACCTACTTGTCAAGTATTCAGAACCTTCGTCATACTATTCCATTTTACACACGCCACGAAATTTGCTTTATTTGCAAATAGTTATATGTCCATTACAGTTGATATTATGTTGCTTGTATTCATTGTCACTCACTAACCACGTACGTATTTCAAATTAAATCACATTATCCTAGTTTCACGTTATCTCACTGTTGCTTGTTCGTTCCACTCACATTTCTTTATATTATTAAAGAAGTCAACTATAATACACCATTGGTACTGAAATTGATCCAAGGTTGAAGTTAATAGAAATAATTGGAATGTCATTGGAATTTTTTTGAAAGTGAAGACGAAGAGGAATTTCAAAGAACAGTTCAGATTTTCTGGTATCTCTTTTTATGCGCAGAATGAATGGTGTGTAAGTAATAAGTGTCAGTGTCTGCGTTCAGTGGCGGAAGTGCTGCTTTTAGGTGCTTGTATCTCTCAGCTAGGCTTCATGGCACATGGCCTAGCTAATATGCTTTAAAATTCCATGAAATGCTACATAAGCATTACATTCGACCGCTCTACCTCACATTCGTACTATTTCCTTCCTTTCACTGGTGTGTATCACCATAGCTTTGCTCAGTTTATTTCCATCGCACTTATTGTATCTCCCTAGTCTTCTCGTAGTTGAAACAATTAAAATGAAAGAAAGTTTAACTGTTACCCAATCAATCTGCTTATTATTCACACCTTTGTTCAGTTATTTCATCTTTACTGCTTTTACAGCAAGTTTCTTTTCATCTCACCATCAAGTATTCACGAAATTCCTTTTTTATTAATTACACACTGATAATATTAATTATAAAGTGTAGCGCGATGCAAAAATTGTGAGAGATTTCGATTTGGTTCAGTTGTTATTTTTTTAAAAATTAGTAATTATAATACAACCACAAATTAGTGTTTATAATACAGCTATTGTTTTTTAAGACCTAAAATTGACAAAGAATGAACTAAGCAGCGATTTGATGTTCGATTCCTGAAAATCAATTTGAAGTTTTTATAAATGCTTTCATGAATTACTGTAATATCCTACTATCCTTCAATTCAGCACAATGCTGCTTAATGTCTAATAACTTGACGAAAACAACACTTCAGTTCTGTTTATTGTCACTTAAAAAAGTGGACTGAGCATTATAACATCTATGTTCCGTAAAACTATAACTAACTTTTCCTTTGTAATATTGCATAATTATGCAACTTTTTCGCACTATATTTTCAAATAAATTCTCCTTCAGTCGCTTCACTATGACATATTCGGATTATGAAGTAATGCATTTAAAGGTGAGAGGAATGTTCATTTTGAGTGAACAGATGATTGGTGCATCATCTTTGCACATTAAGTAGTATTATTTTGGAAGCAAGCATTCTCTAAAATGATTGAGAAAGATAAGGAAATTACCCTTCATCACAACTTACTCTACTCATAACTGTTATATTGGAGTAAAACGAAAGATTACTGAACATTTATAGTCTGAGGAGTGTGCCACGGACTTCTTCATTAATTGTTATCCTTAAAAGAGAGATGAATGTGCATATTACATCAGCGAATGAGTTAAAAGTGCTCTCCAAAGATTTGTTTTACTTCCAGAATTTATTCTAAATATCTAAGGAAGCAACTACAAACAGTATCAGTTTATTGCCACTGATAACCGCAACCATCATCACTGCTATTCTTTTTTTTTTTTTTTTTTGTCATTAACAATAAAATTTGAAAATTTCTATAAAATGCTTTGAAAAAGAGGAAGATAAAATTTTTACATGACCTCACAAATGAAACGTATCACATTTGCACTATTTGCTCATACTTCTATGGCGTGGCATGGCATGCATAAATGTCAACTAAATCCATGGAGCGATCATTACCATATTAGCTACAGCATGTGATGGTGTGTTATACTCAATGTCGTCTATTGCACAGCTGATTAGTAATAGTAGATCATTTTTTCCAAAAAAAAAATTCAGTTTGTTGTTCTATTCTCATTTTTTTTCTCTTCAAAATTTAAAAATTGTTTCATATGAAATTATTTCTTCTTTTTGAAATGATACTTTAAATTTACAAAAAAGAAAAATTTTAATATTCTAAAATTCACCGTTTCCTTTGCATTAAAAAGGCGCGATGTTAGTATAATAAATATATGTACAAGCTTGTTTGTTTTTTGTTGTTTTGATGAAATTTGGTTGAATGCGTGATGAAAATTTAGAGACTAAGAATATATCCATATCAATTACACGTGCTCTGTTTTTACTTCCTTACTACAACACCACCATTTCCTTTATGGTTTTAGAAATAAGTCTATTGATCGGATCTTTCATTTGCAAAAAAAAAAAAATATCAAATAAACTTCGTTCTTTTTGGCATATTGATCTTTCATTTCTTAGTTTGCTCAATGTCGCATTCATGAAAAATTGTTTAGATCCTTCAGTGCTGAGGTGCCAGCAAAGAAAACTCTCAACTCCAGCGTCAACCGTGCAGCGAATAAACCGTAAGTAAATTTTCACTTCCGTTCTCTTCGTTCTGTGAGTGAGAATTCGTGACTTATAAAAGGTTCTAAATTATCCGAAACAAACGTTTATAGGATCTTGGACACCGAACCCTCAACTTAACAACCAGAAGAATTCACTCAGAAACTATGAATTGCAATCGAGACGTAGCAAAAGTGTTGGACGTTATGTAGAAAGTCAAAGTGGAATGGAACAACCATATCAGCGGTCTTCAGAAAATCTCAATCGTGAGCTTGAAGAGTGGAAACCTGGATGGCGTCATGAGTTAGGTGCTGCATCGTGTTGTCCATCATCACATCGGCCTTACCTCACTAACTGCTTTGCTCAACAACGCTCTAAAACTCAGCATTTCCACCTACCACCGTATCGATTTCAGCAGAACTGTAAGCAAGGAGCATCGAAATGCTTATGCTGTCATTTTTCTTGTCATAATTTATCATGGAGTGAGATTGAATATCTCTGCAAAACACTGGATAAAAAAGAAATTCATATGGAATCATTTATGGAGCAACTGAATAAACTTGTCAAATCAACAGCAATCGGAGGTCGTCTAGATCAGTCCGTTATGTATTTACAAATTTTAGTTGACTGCTTGGAAGCTTGTGGAACTAATAGTAACAACATCAAGAGAAGCAGAAGTCACAGCATATCACCAACATCATTTTCTACTTCTAACTGTTATTGTATTCCTAAATATCTCACCAATTTAACAACTCCTTGTTCGTTTTGCTCATCTTATATCAACTCAGGTGTGTCTCCTTTTTCTATTTAATTAATATATTTGAATTTCTCGACTTAACCTGCATGAAATAGATTCTATTCAAATAATTGTCTTAAGTCCGAAGATATTTAACTTTTTTTTTCAAATATAGTTTACATTGAAAGCATTAAATTTAAAATAATGTGAATTAGTGAATGAAGTGAAGAGAAATCTCGAACATTGCACTTTTTTAAATAAGCCTATTAATATCTTTGTCGTGTTTCTTAACCATTGACAAAAGTTGTATCTTAAACCAATCCTTGAGTATACAAATTAAATTCCAATATTTCTACTGCCTTTATCGATCAACTACCCATTCAGTGTTTACACTACTGATTTTATTTTCTGGAAATATTCGATATTAATGCAAATTGCATAAGAATTAAGGCATTGTCGCATGCTTTGATATTGCTCAAACTTTAAATTATGTAACCTTTAGGACTACTGAGTCACACGAAGTCGATTGTCAAAGCGTCCCGTCTAATCTATCTGTTGTTTGAACCGTTAATATTTTCTATACCGTTGTCATAACTACTGTTACTATTCCTCTATTTTGTTATGCCAGACTTGGATATTTGAATCATTTTGTACTTAGCACTACTATTTTACAGTTAACACGAAAAACTTTCATTTTAAATTTTAAATTCAGTTTTTATATCAGATTTCCTTGAAAAAAGAAATTAAGATTTCCTCAAACCTTTAATTCTGTTCTACTTTTCATCTCTTGGTTATTTAGGAGAGAACCCAGAGTAGATTGCCAAGTCGATGTATTTTTCGATCTTCCGTTTTTTAATCTGGTGCTTTTTTTTCTTTAATCGTAGTAATAATTGTTAGATAGGTCAGAAGTGAACGGCCAGTCAACTGGTGATGTAGCCAAGATAAAAAAACTTGCGAAATATGAAGTTCTTCTCCGGCAAAAAGTTGAAAAGCTTTCCGAAGAATTGCAACAGCAGCAGAGTCGACGGCATGGATATGTGTTAGTTACTAATACTATTTCGCTATTTTTTCAGTATGCTTGTTGGAAGTTTACGTTTTTAATTTTGATCCATGAACATCAAGTAGTTCGGGTTTATGTTTTATCACTAAGAAATGATGCTTGATAAGATGGTTACCAATTATGATCGTGTTAAAAACCATCTTTCAGTTTATAATATTCGGACCAGCTTGTTTCCAGTGCTTGAAACCTATTGTTTTATATCTGCAACTTACAATTTGATTATTATTGTTGGGTGCATCGTGCTAATAAGAGTGGCTAAATTGATTCAAGCTGCAATTAATGATAAAATACTTTTAAGTCTGGTAGTGATAAAATTTAAGAATATTTTTGACTTCTAACTGTTTATTTGCTAGGGTGATATTTTACATTGATGGTAAACTTATAATCAATGAAGGATAATATTTTCAGACCTTCTGCTTCTCCGGCCCTTCAGAAAAATTTCGATCGCTTTAGTGGACTGATCAACGAATTTGGACGTCCAGAACGTGCTGCCACCCCTCAAACGATGTCAAAAACTGAAATTACGACTTGCACTGCACTTCACTCTTTCAGAGCTGTCAGCCCTAAGTAATATTTTAATCTAGTCATAACTAATCTTAATCTACTTTTTCGATTCTAATTTAATTTTTTTCTTCTTGCTGCAAGTTTATTTGTCTACTTTAAAAAGAAATTCTTTTATTTTTTCAAATTCTTTCCGAGCTACTGAGTGAATATTTTATCAAATAATGCCATGTTTAATTAAATACGAAGAGTAAATCAAAAGTGCTTAAAGATTAACTCATAAAATTCTTTCGAAAAATTCAGAATCGTGAGCATCACTACCTTGAAAAGCAATGGATTCAAAATGAATTATAATTCCACCGATCCAGTTGCAAATAATTCCATGATGTCCTCTTAAAAATTAATAAAATACCCGGAAACATGATGCTTAATTTGTAGAGAATTATCGTTTAATCGCGGTGATGTGATACGGGTCTATCGCATAATCGATATCAATTGGATGGAGGGCGAACTTAATGGTCAAAGTGGCATTTTCCCTTCTTCCTATGTACAAGTAATGTTTTTATTAATAAATTCATATTTTCATTGCAATATTCTACAGCTAATTTATTTATAAATATCTTCTGATAAACTGCTTATTCCAGGGATTGTGATTGCTTCTCTTTCCTTCACAATAGTCGGATGACACATTTAGTAGAGGAATAGGATTTCAAATTTCAGTGGATTAATAAGAATTAATTTGTTAAAGTTAATATATGGACTTCAATTAATAAAATTTTAAATGCAAATTAAAGATTGACAGCAATGAGGAAAGCGAACAGATCAGACTGGTCGTTTTGTATCCATTTTCTGCCAGAAATAAGAATGAGTTATCGCTGAAAAAGGTTTGCTAAGTTCTTAGTTCATGTTTCAACTTGGTTGACTTACTCATTCTTACAATAAATATTCAAAAATCTTTTTAAATCAAACACCTCGTAATTGGAAACAATTTTTTTGTTTTGTTTTTTTTTTTCGGAAAAATGATCAACAATCTCTTTCATCCTCTTCACTGCGTAATTATTAAATTAAAAAAAAAATTCATATATCGACAACTGATAGGGTGAAATGCTGCGTCATTTGCGAAATATTGATGCTAATTGGATCGAGGGTAAGAATATTCACGGACAAAGCGGCATTTTTCCCAAGTCATACGTTCGTAAAGCACGTGAGATCAGTTTATGTGACAGCAGTGAAATATCAATACCGGATAGACCTAAAACACCACATACCAATGCTACTCCATTCAGGTTTATCGCCTTTTTGTCTTCAATTTTTCAGAAACTTTTTTTGAGTTGAAGAAAGTATCAGCAAAACCATTGACTAAATATAGTTTTGGGACTCTGAAAAGTATCGGTTTTAATTTCCGCGCGAATTAATTCTTGTTCACAAACTAAAATGGAAATAGTAATAATTAGAAAATTGCTTCACTAAACACAAGTAGGTAATTAATCTGTGATACTTTTAATTCAGTTTATCTTGTTTCTTTTCTTGAAACAAGACTTCTTGAACTTTAATGAAATGATCGTGTTGCTTAAAAATTTAATTCTATGTAAAAAGTTTATGCGCAAGCGATGCCAGCGAAGGTCCATCTACCATTAAATGATCAAATCTAGTTATTTTTATTCAATATTTTTAATTATATGTTCAAATAACTAATATAGCAAGTATTAATTAGCATTTTTTTTTTTTTGTTTTCAATATATATTTTCTGATATTAGCAAATATCTAAGCAAGATTTATTTCACACTTTATTTAGCTTTATAATTACTGGCTACAAATTGTAGGATTAAAATATTTCTTTACTTTTCCTTTTTTTTGTAAATATGACACTAAAGCATTAAATGAGAGACTTAAGAAAACTTAATAATGCTATCAGTAAGTAAGCATAACAAGGCATAACATCATTTCTTTTTATCTTTTTATCATTTCTTTTTATCAAAGAAATGACTTCCGGTCACAAATTTTGTTTTTCAAATTCTATGCTGATATTTTCAGTCATTAATTTTGAATTACTTCATTTATGGGTTCGTTGTTTGAGAAACTTGTTTTTGACCCTTTGATACGTTTTAGGAAATAAATGCACTTCTTATCAGAAGCTACAAGAATGCAAATTATTTCAATTTTTATGTGATTCCAAGGAAAATTAATGGAGAATTTAATGAAAAAAAAAAAATCCTATCACCAAAAATTTGAAAATAAAGTTTGCTTTTTATCAGTTCTGTGTTATATCACATTACTCATTAAAAGTCATTTAATCATAAAACACTTCTTAATTTCCTTTTCTTGAAAGTATCGTCTTTGATGCCTTTTTTTGGCTTTTTCTTTTTTCACTCTTTAATTTTTGTTTTAGTGTAAGAAAATCCTGAATACCTATCATTTCATTTCCGTTTCTGATATTGGACTGCTCAGTCAATATGATTCTGAAGGAAATAATGGAATAGAGGGATGTTAAAGTTGAGAAAAGTTAGCGATTTTATTACTTTGTTATTTGTTGTTCGTTCATCAACTACGACGCATTATTACATTACCAAAAGGAGGGACTTGAAGAGGATAAAGCAAGAACATTTCTAGAAAACCTATGGAATCTTCGTGATGATATCTCTAAATTTGAATTGTAATGCATGTCTGCTTTTGCAGAAACATTTTTTTTTTTGGATTATGTTTTCAACTTTTTATGATTCATAACGTAGAAAATAATATGGTACCTGATTTTTGAATGGTAATATGAAATGTTGTGGCATAAAATTTAAATTGCAATAAATTTGCCACCCGGCCACCAAAAGCAATTATTGGGAAAAATAGATTAAGCGTAGATGTGACTGATTAAATAAAAACCAAAAAAGAAATTTTAAGAGTAATTTATTTCAATTGAAAAAAAGGCTGTATTTCTTTGACATTTTATCAAACTGCGTTGACATTTATTATTCTAAATTAAACAAAGTGCTGAAGAATTAATTATTTCTGCAATACTTTACACAAATAATGAGAAATAAACCTATGCAACCACAGCGATTTTCATATTTTGTAGAAGTTTCACAACAGTGTCAGCAAGTAACACTTCAAAAAATACTCACTGCAAAAAGATGAGTGGATTACATCTTATTAACTTTTCTATGAAGAAAAATGAGAAATTCCCGTCTTATTTTCACGACGATTTGAGCCATATTTTGCAGCACTTTCTGAGCGGAAAAGGAGAAACGAAAAAAGAGCAATGACTGATGTCATTTTTTTTTTTAGACGCTATCATATAGTAATTAATTCTCTTCATGTCTACTTTTCAGATTTATTTGTTAGCACTAGCATTTCATTTTCATGCTTCATTTCTAAAGTTTTGTTCTCTTTTTCCTTGAAAAAAAAAAATAACATAAGTGGGAATTTTCTGAAAAACTCAAGATTTGCTTCAAAATAAATTGACTTCGTACCAAAGTAGTATGATTTTGTACAATGAAATGTCTTTAAGTAACTCATATATTAAACCGGTTCCTCTTTTATACTCTTCACTTATTTTTAGTCATTACCTTCAATTAATTATTTTAACCCAATAAATTTTTGCCATTGAACATCACGTTATTATTAACACTCAATTTCATTTGTATAATGATATCTAGGTTAGAGAGAAGCAATAACATTTGTTGAGATTAATTTAACGCAGCGACACTACTCTCTTAGATGTCATTACACATGAGCAAATGAATTTTTGATCTATAATTTTGTTGCCAAAAAAAATTTTGTTGCATTGGGTTGCAGGCACTTCCGAAGGTTGTGCAACGTACTTTTGCACATTTGCTATGGAACCGTTGAAAATTTGATTAATGAACAGCAGTCCTCTTTACAAGATTTTAGAAAGTAATCGTTTGAACTATTTTTGTCTTATTAAGTTCTGGGATTACACAGCATAATTCATTCGTTGTTCTGACGATTGCTAACCTTGGGACTTCGTTTTATTTTATTCTGTATAAATCCACCCTAAGATGAATTTCTTTTTAACTTCAGCCTATATAGCCGTTACCATCGATCAATTCAGAAAACTTTTGCTAGATATCTGTTTCATTACTCAAAAACTTGAAACAAAGCTGCCTTCTTTCTTGCTGTTTCAATTTATTAGTAACAACCTTAAAAAATGCAAAAGATTAGAAGCAACACCTGTTAAGTGCTTATAGATACAACAAGTTTTCATTTGTGCTCGAATTGAAAGATTTCAAAAGTGTTCCAATTGAAATTTCTTTGATTTCTTTTAAAAATTCTATTAAGTTTTCTTAATAACATGTGACCAATTCTAATCACCAGCAAAATCGATTATACTTTGACAATAAATAAAACACTGTGTTTCTAATCACAATTCCGTACACTGTGATACATATTGCTGAACAGTAGTTAAGGTTTTTCTTTACATCTAAAATGATGGCCAAGGCATTAAGTAGAATAACCAACGATAGAATAATGGAATTTTCTTAAGCTGAGCCAATTTAACACATCTCAGCCAAGCCAAATATTAAATTATATCAGTAGTTTCTGCTTATAAAGATCACTTCCAATAAATTTGTAAATTAGTGAGGCCACATTTGTGAAGTGGACTAGTTGCGTTGTTACTAAGCAACACGTTTTAAGTTTTTTGGATAATAAAATAAAAAACCATTTTCCTAATGAGACTGCTTTATCCTCAATCCTTCCCCTACCTGACTCAACAAGCATCGTTAGTCAGTCTTCAAAGATTTATTTTTTTCAATGGTAAAATTCTCTTCAGGATAGAAACCAACAACCAAAGCTCGGTAAAGCAAGACGAATTCTTCACCTAGTTTAATACTTTTCTCAAATTTAACTTCAAATTTTCTGCAGTATCTGAATCTTAACTAAAACTGAGTTGAAAACTTTATTTCTGCTAAAACCATTTATTCTTAATCGTTTCATTCATTCTTTTTTAATAAAAATATTTCTATTTCTTAATTGTTATTTTTCTAACTCCTTAGCCTTTAGCATTGGTTGAATAATCACCATCTCAATAACTTTATACTGGTTTATGATCATTACATATAGTGGTAACTTATGATAATTTCGAGTTAACTGCAATTTTATATTTTATGTTTTGCCGAGATTTATGAGTCGTATGTTTTTTTTTTTATTTTTTTCACAAGTTTCATTTAAAAGGCTACAAATATTGCAGAATTACCGACTGAAGTTAATTATGGATAAAGTAAAGGGAAGTGTCATCGTTGATGTTTATGCATATTTCTAATCATATGTCAGATTTAACGAGTAATTGAATTGATAAAGATATCATTATTTAAAAAAATATACGGTGAGGATATTCAATGCATTGCACAGCAGGAATAGTAGTACATCCATTGCGAGCATCATGGCGTTCAATAAAAAATAAAATCCGAATATGCCGACAAACAGAATATGATCTAATCCAGGCTTATTTTTTGGGAAATGACAATCCGCAGCAACAGTTAGCAACGACAACATTCGCTTTCCGACCACGTTTCGTAACTAATGTGGTGGAACAACAAATTTACACTATTTTAGTTACATTTCTGGATCAGATTCTAGAGTGTTATCATACAATGTATAATGCCTGGATATGCAAGAAATTTGGACGTCAGCTAGCACGGATTTTGCGTACAATAAATTTTGATCATAGATACTACTGGAAACTGTTAGAGAATCGTATCCTCTACTATCTGATGGTAAAACACTACAGTGTAACGGTGTTATTTGCTTGGCATACATTCATGGATACCTTATCAGATGCTGTTATCGAAGGCTTCTGGCAAGCAATATCTGCTGATTTGCCAAAGCAATTACCAACAATTTTCGAGGAAACACCAGCTAAATGTTTCTTGTACATCGAGCCGAATCGTCCTTCATTTTTTGTCAGACTGCTGGATTTATTTGTGCGCTCATTATTATAATTTGTTTATGATTAACGAAACCACTAATAGTTTAACCAGGAACTATTAAATTGAAGAATAAAAAATATAGTTAATCACAGCTGAAAGTCTGATATGATACACTTTTCACCTAAACCAGTTAAACTAGAACCACGATAGGCCACTACTGGTCGGTAATTCGAATATAAAGCTTCATATTTCATCTTTGTTCCTCAATCTATCTTATCAAGAATTTTTCATTGGCTTTATGATACCATTTTTTTTTTCTGGTATCATAATCATTTATTATCAACATTGAATGAACAGTATACGTTTAAAACTTGCCAACAATATGATTAAGAAAGAGATTCGAGTCTTCTTCACTTGCAACAATTACACTGTTTATTGCATGGAACAAGAAATTTATAAAGGAAAAGAAATCTCTCATCTATCCTTCATTTTCAAGTGTTACTGACACATTTTATGCTTATTATTCAACTTTTTCATAATTTTTGATATGCGTAATTAATACTGTAAATAAAAACAAAGTTCATTTGTTTACAGTTTGTTTTCTGCTATTCATTTAAATGCTTCCTGCATTTACAGAGACGAAAACCCAGCAATAGCAATAAGGACAGATCCCGTAGACGAAATGGGAGAATGGCAGAAAAGACACAATCAGAACGACTTTTCTGGACCGGTGAATATAATTCCCAAAAATGTGGAAATGTTAGATTTTTATCTTTTCCTTAATTCTACTACAGTATTTAATATGATGTATTCAGGAAGTATTATCTTAGATGCAATTTCTCCGACACGCGAATACAACAAATTGAACTATGAATGATATTGGATAGACTTAGCATCATAAAAGATTGATCGAGATAGCTGGATATATTATGTTGATTTAAATTGAGTGGTAGACTTTCAAGGAAGCAATGTCCCCCCGCTCAATTAAATATTTTTAAAAGTTTCAAAAAAGATATTGCCATATATAAATTAAAATAATGCTGTGAAACATAAAATGATTGTTCACTTCAGTTATCGGGTCCTATACGCTTACAAGCCAAAAAATGCGGACGAACTTGAGCTCCAAGAAAATGATATCGTTTTTGTTATTGAGAAGTGCGACGATGGTTGGTTCATTGGTTAGTCGGATCTCTTAACTTTCTTCGTTTTTTAGATATCGAAAATTTTTGAAATATGAGATTGAAAACTGTCCAGAATCATCCTTTCTTTTCAAATTATTCCATTATTCTACATTTTTTGTAAGCTTCAAGGACGACTTTGATATCCACAAACCTTTCTATCTAAAAGATTTCCTAATAATAGCGAATTTGCAGGTACTTTACCACGAACAGGTCAGTTCGGAACATTTCCAGGCAATTATGTTGAAAGCATTGAACTATAGATAGAATCAATATTTATTTTCTATATTGCTTTGCACCAACCATTTCCTTGTTTGTCATAGTCATTTTATTTTGTATGTTTCATTCAATTCAATAAAAAATAATAATACATTTTATTGTCCTTATTGTATAACTTCTTTGAAAATACAGCACATCAGATGAAAAAATTTCTTAATCATTACAGATTAATTAGTTTGTTTCCAAATGGATTAATTATAGCGTAATCTACATTGATTATAACACGAATGCATAGTTAATTGGTCATAGATAAGATAATGAACATTCAAAATACTAAAATGAATGGATCATCCTTATAATAAAGTAAGTAATAAGAGAATGTCTTTTTTTATTTGCATGATCCGAATCTATCTGATATCTGTTCATTAAAGTGACCAGAATAGCTCTCCTCATTTAACCAACATGGTTAAATGTCGGACTGTTTGAAAGGTGGAGCGAAAATTCTCATTGTATTTGTGAAAGTTCTAATAATGTTGCCAGTTGTTAGGTTGCTATGGAACTATTTTGTTTTTCTTTTTGTTTTATCATTTCTAAATGTTGCTTCAATAATTCGACAATGAAACCAAATCTGTTGGTTTTTTAAAAGAATTATCTAGCACTTCTACAACATGAATCCATTGTGTTTACAGTTGGGTAAGTTATTTGAATTAAAGTTTCAAAGTTTCTTCCCAAATGAAATATTTGTTTAAAATATTTATGACAAACACTGCAATGGAACTAAGCATCATGAGAAAATAGTTGTACTATAGCATATATCGTCCGGTTAATAATCCTTTTCGCATTCCTTCAACGTTTTTCTGTTGCGGCCGATAATCTTAATGATGATTGAACCTTATCTTATTCGATTTAGCAAGGAACATCGTATATGCTTTTATTTTATTACCAAATTAAATCATTTTTAATTATTTCTTTGTCAAAACTAATTTGTGATAATGTGAGATGTTTTGTGTTTTTTTTTTCTTCTTTTTTGTGGAAATATGAAGTTTTCAGAAACAACTACTAGTTCCGAATCAGAAAATGTGAAACAGCCATGCTTGGCAGCACTCGGTTACCACTTTGATAATCAAGGTGTTATGAGAGATAAGGTTTTGCTTTGGTTGTTTTTGTAAGATAGAAATTGATAAGGAAAGAAATGAAAGCTTGTTTGAGATTTATGAGTATTTGTTGTGGAAAGTTAGGATTGCGGATTTGCAAATAAAAATTTCGTTCCTTGTTTCAGGATAAGAAAAGATATGAATTCATTGATCAAAAAAGTTATGAAAAGATCGGTTTAGCCATCACTGAAGAGATTTATCGAATAATGGAAAATCCGCCTTATAATATGGAAAGGCACTATGTATGCTTTTGTTTTTTGCTGCTTCCAAAGTGATTTTTAAAAAAATACATGCAAAGGAATTTTTATTCGGCTAAAGCGAATTCAGTATTATTTGTGATAGCAAATGAATGTTAATGGCTATAAAACTTTATCAGTATAACTCGTCGCTGCTTTTTTATAGCTGGACGATACAAACAAGAAAAGAAGCGCATTCATATTTCTTAGCAAAGATTGGTATGAGAAAGAAAATCTTGTTGTACTTATACATGGCAGTGGTTCTGTTCGTGCAGGACAGTGGAGTAGAAAGTAAGTATTTGCATGATAACACTTCCAGATACTATCATATTGCCACCAAGGAGTTTCTGCTGAAAGTGAATCATGATTTATACAACTTTCAAATGTTTTCAACAATTCTTTTTTATTTTTTTTTACCCACTTCAAGAATTTTTGAATGAAAAAAAAAGTGTGTTTATTTGGTCTTTTTCAGACTTATAATGAATGAAAATTTAAATATGGGCTCACAGTTGCCATATTTGCGAATATGTAAAAGGCGGGATTGGGGAGTGGTTGTGATGAACACTAATATGAACATAACTAACAACGATCCTATTGAATTACTGCCAGTTGGTTCTTTTCCTTTACTTTCAACAAATAATGTATCTGTGCTAGTAACAAACCAACTACCGCAGTTGTCAACATTTCTTTGATAAACGGTCTGTCCAGAGAATAGTGGTAGCAATAATAACTTATGCGCTTACATTATCATTTATTACAAAATTTATTGCAGGAAAGTAGGACCCCCCTAGAACATGGTATTACTGTGTGAAAAACATATGTCGCAAGGGCGAAAGCAAGTTCAATTGCAGTGGTTGCACATAGTGCAGGTGGCAGTGTTGTCGCTGGCATTGTAAGATTTTATAAATCTTCCTGAATTCGTTTAAGAAGTCAATGAATCATTTTCTTGCTGTTAAATCCTGTTACAGTTGAATTTTAATAGATAGAAAATTACTGGTCAGAGGAATGGATGAAGAGACTTAAATGTGTATGTCTTACGGATGCTGTGTTTACGTTACCATCTGTAAGTGCTATGGATTGGTTACCAGCAATACAATACTGGCGAGCAACTCTGCAGACTGAAATTGGGCTTCAAATAAACAACACTACGATACATGGAAAGCATCCTTATGTAACTTATGTTAGTGCGGGAACTAATCAACATGAAGAAACTTCGGCCGTAGCAATTGAAGACATCTTCCGATTTATTGATAGTTACTTTGTATGAAGTTGTTTTATTATCATTTGAAATGTAAAAAAAGAATTTTCTTATAATAGTGTTCTTCATATGATGTATGAATCGGTATAGTTGATTTCTGGAGCCACTTGCGATATAAGGATGACGTATGTAATGCATGAGTAGTATTATTTCTTGAATGCTGTGTGTGCAATGTAGGAATAGTGTTGATTTTCTTGTGTTACTATTACATTTCCTTGTTTTATTTGGTTCGATTTTAACACATCAGCAGATTTTTTTCTCTCTATAAATGAATATAAAGAAGATGTCTGGCTAAAGAAAAAGAAAGAAGTGTATGCATACTCACAATGAAAAATACCGGATAAAGGAATCTTAATCTGTTTGAATGTGCGGGGTCTCTGGTCGTTTATCAACAACAAAAATAATCACCATTTCGAGGAACTGCATGAATTTGGGTCGGATTATTGACAAATGATAGTCATTCGTCGTTGTAAAATAGTTATGGTGTTTGCCTTAAGACTTAGGAGCTGTTCAGAAGCTGTGATCACCAGTTAAGGGGAGGCGACATTTATATACGTATAATGCACTTACTGCAGATGTTTTCAACATGTTAAAACCAGATGAACTCGTCACAGAGTGGATGCAGGCAGAGGGGCTCCATTCTTACTTAGAAATAGGTGATTTAATTGAATTTCAACGAGCCGTTGGTAATATAAAACGACGCATATACACGGTATCTTTTTCATATTTTTAGTACTATGCGATTGTTCTTTTTTTCATATTCACTGAGTTGGTTTAAGTGATCCATGAATTTATAAATCCCACCCACATATTCTTCATATCCACTGCTATCCGACAGTAGTAGTTTCAGTTCTTATTTTATTTTTTTACAGAAAGATTTTTGTATCTGTTCAAAAAAAAAAAAAAGTACTATGTGTTTGTTCAAATTTTAGAATTTTATGTTGCTGAATAATTCAAACATTTAAGCACTGGGGAGTATTCATCGGTTTTCACGATAAGAAAGCATACATTGCCCATACAGGGACAGATTTCGGTGATTTTGGTGACAACCTTATTATCAGTTCTGTTGAATCCCTGGCAACTATTAGAACAAAGATGTCTTGTAGTAGTCAAATACAGGTTATTTTGTCCAGTATTTTATAGCCTTTGAAACACTTTTCCATATGGAAAAAACTCGTACGCTTTCGGCTTATTGATGTCGAAGTGAGGAGTGAATGTAGGATGAATAGAAACCCATTATATGCAAAACATATTTCCATTGCCGAGATCCCGTCGGATATTTCATATGGAAGTTGAAATTGCAATTTAAACTCGATAATATCAAAAAAAAAAAAAGTTTAAATATTTATTCATTGATGTATTTCAGATTCGTCGTGACGAGTTAATAACTGTTGCTAACGGTGATAGCTGTCGAATAAATAATTCACTTGATAAGGAGAAAAAGCCCTTTCCACCGGCTGTTGTAGTTGATCGAGCTCTACTTATGGTAATGCTTTATTCGGTTAAGATTATTTTTGATTTATTTCCGTTGTGGTTACTAACGTACGTAGTAAAATGAATCATCCATTAGTTATTTAGTTAAACCATATAAATCATCAGTTCATATTAAATATTATAGCTTGGGAAGACTAACTATAATCTTCTGCTAAATAACTGCGAACACTTTGCAAAGTACTGCAGATATGGTCTGAAGGAAAGCAAGCAGGTAACACTTCTGTCTTTCTAATTCTCAGTATTTTTTTGCATATTCATATGGTTTTAATGTTTAATTTTTTTATCCTAAGTTCGAACCTCTCTCCTTCCACTTTTGCCATACCATTGAGATAAGAGGACTTCCATTGTTTAGTTTTCACGCAGTAAATTTTTAGGCAACAGTTGCGAAAATCATAATTGTAATCTCGGCAACATATTGCATGACAGGCTCGCTAGCAGTTTCAGCAGTTGCGGGCACTCTCACTTACACTTTCAGTCGTTTGGGACGTGGCATTAAACACTTCGTCCCATTCTATCCGAATGTGTTGCTGTAACTGTCAAGAATGGGCAAAGAGGTGCATGTGCTTTGCGCATAATTATGTCGACTTACGTATCTGATTCCGTTTTTTTGAAATCTGATTCCTTTTTCCTTTGTCACAGACTCCAATTCTTTCTTCCTCTGATTCCTTTTTCGTTTGTCATAGACTTTTGTTTGTAGTGTGTGGTATGCATGCTTCTAACAAAATCAGCATGTATACGGGTTGCAATTATGTGTATATATTATGGACAAGCAGTAAATATTGATATATTTAAAAAGCATACATCCTTTCATAGTGGTGTTATCCGTGCGCGAAAGTATTGTGCTTGTTCCAAGTTAGAATTAGTCCCCCACTCGAATTTTTTTCGAAGATTATACCATGAACTTTCTTGCATCTTTTTCTTCCCGTGCTCATCAGTTCCTTACGCATTACTGTCCAAACACATTGTTCATCGTTGCTTTAATAAGTTATACTATATGAATGGAATCCAAGTATGGGATAAGGAAGACTTTACAAAGTTTCTGGAAACAGATGGTACCCATAAAAAACATGCAAGCGGGAGCTGTGATAAAAAGATAAAGAACATATAACATGACTCATAAAAAAGTGTCACAGTAAAAACAGTAATTCCGTCCACTCAAACTAATGGAAGCCAACTTTCTTTTATGGGAAATATAATCTTTATTTACAAAAGGACAAAATACTGGCCGCTTTAATATTATTTTTGCTTACTGCAATACAGTTTGTAAAATGGCAGTACGGTAACACACACAGATATCAGTGCTGAACCATCCACTTCCTCTACAGGTGAAGCAACCTCATAAATGCGTGACAGTGGATCTCTTCAGCAGGTTTCCTGTTCTGCGTTAGTTTGCTTAGGAACAGTAAGAGACACCAAAAAGTAGATATCCAGAACTTCTTAAGTGACAGTACGCTATTTATCACGTAAAGTGCGAGACAAAGTTAAACCAAGAACCAACTTTTCCTAGCTACCTGCTTCATCTTTCCTACACAGTCTTCAGAAGATGGAATCCTGCTGGATTAGTAAACGAAGCGCAGCAAACAAACCGGATAAACTGGACTTGTAGTACTACCACTTTCCCAAATCTCGCGACAGCGAATGACAAAGACAAAGTACAGTTGTAGTGGAACGTCGACTGCAGCAATTCGGAATTATAATAAGCAAAACGAATGTTAACATTATGGAAAGAATTACTGGAACTAAGTTTAGGCTTGAAATTCACAGGAAGTAAGACTGATGTTAAAAAGCGTGACTAAACATAAGGGATATCACAACTGCAGCGGAATTCTGTATCGGAAAAACAGAAAAGCTTGAGAAATAAAAGTACAAGAAATATTGGCTAACCAGAAAATGAGAACAAAGATGCACAACTGACCTACTGATTAGGGGTCCACATGAAAAAGGCTATAAAAAAACATGAAGAATGATTAGCTCGGTTCACGCTGATGACTAGACAAAGTGGATTTAAACTGTCAGTACATTAGCGCGTTATAACAAAGAGAAAATCTGATATGAAGCAATTATCATACATTAAAGAATTCTAGAAAGAAAATTAAATGAAATCCGGCTAGTAAGCTCTTCCCAGATATAAAACAACGGAACAACAATGTAAAAAAACTGGGTTACAAATGCAGGCAAAATATTGCCTTAATGAATTGTGTGAAGTAAACTGTTGCAAAATCAATTTTGTAACTCATAAAGCTAAACTTGTGATTATTATTATATTATTACACTATTAGAACATATAAAAATATAACAGGCAAACAAACATCATAATATGATGCCTTATGTATAAATAACACTCACAATCTTAAGCTCGTCAAACACGTATTTTGCCTGAGAATCATTTCTTCGTCCTTTCTTATTGAGAGGGTAATTCATAATTTCTTTTCAAGATGGTAAATCGTTAGATGAAATAAAAGTACTTTCAATCTTCACTCTGCAAGCAAAATATTTTAAAAGCCAGTAAAAAATAAGCTAATTTTAAATGAAACAAAAGGTGTCTCTTCTAGACCATACTAACACAAACAACGTTGCAATGAGAACAGGGAAAATGAAACCAGAAGCTAAAGCCTACAAATTACTAAATCGAAAACGGACCTCGGATGACTCTTCCAGCCATTCTCGATCTTGTGTTGCTATAAAATCTTCTTTTGCATACTCAGTATCTTCATTTTGAATCTGTTTTTTCTGCAAGCCAAAAAAATCACCAAAGAGATACAAGTCCGCAAACATTCATCCATTACTTCATTACTCTTCTAAGCTTACCATCGTAGCTTCTTCATCCAAAGAATCATTACCAACGTGATTTATTAGACCAGTCTCCCATAAACCCGAAGATGGAGAATCAGCTTTTCTGGGCATACACCTATAAAGGGATTACATAAGGCACACCTTCATTTGGGTCAACCCAACCTGTCCAACTGAAGCTTCGCTATAGAAAAGGCAATCAACTAAATATTAGCTTCAAAAATGCTTTTGCCTTAAGCCTTTAATCTCCTGTAATATTCACAGGGGCATGGGAAAATTACACAAAACGAATTAAAATGACATCAATACTGAAGTGCCGATACCAAAAATGGAAAAATAGTCGAATCTGAAATAACTGCAATCAAATAATATTCGACCAAAAAGAACTATTCACTCTAACTACAAAACAAATATCAAATATACCTATAATTCGCCGGAGGATGAACTGATTTAGAATCTGCTCGCTGTCTGAAGAAGTATTTACGCAAATTAGCATTCTGTAAGCGTGGGTCACATCGCCAAGGTTGGTCAGATATAGCATCTGCTGAGTAAGAACTTGATGAATGTGATGATGTGCTGTCAGAAAGGCTTTCAAATCTGGATTGTCCACTTTTTTTCCGCATCTGTAATGTTAATATTTTTTTAGGAGAAACTAATTAAATATTAAAATACTTCGTGGATAAAAATTAAGAGAAGTTACCTCCTCCGTTCTAGATGCATCAATTTTTGCTTGTGCTGCATACATATTTTCGATACATTTCTTTGCTAGTTCGACATCGTCCTTGTTATCAACATCAATGCACCTCACCACCACATATATCTAAACAAATCATGAGCAAAGGACCAACAACTAAACAATTAGCCAAAAATTACAAAAATAACTGAATGTCTTACTTTCAAGCCCTTATTTACTTTATCATGCTTGAAAGCTCGGTCTACTTCCAGAACGCTAAATGTTAGGACATGTTCGTAGGGTCGACGCATCAGACACATGGGACCTCCACAGTCTAGCCTGACTGAAAGTAGAATATTATTTTTACTTGAAAAACGAAGCTTTTTACATTTTTATGCCGGAATAATTAAAATAACCTTCAGGACTTCGAGGGATAGCAGTGCCGGATGGAACTGATTGAAGATGCTTCTTATACTTACCGCCGGCCAAATGCTTTGTGTGTGCATCTCGTAACATTGCCATGATTTCTTTTCGTGGACTAAATGTCAAATATCCAGCATTAAAAATATTAAAGTATCTTTTTTCACTTCCTAGTCTCTTCATATTTTCTTAATCATTTTTTTAATTCAAAGTACCAGTGATGGCTGCTATATATTATCAACATATTACCTGCTGCCTTTCAATTTGAAAAAAAATGTAAAACTAACGGCTGCCGTCCAAGCTGTTCAGGATATATTAGAGGCAAACATCGATAAGGGCAATGTTTTTCAAGTCCCGGAGGAGAATCAATATTGCACTCATGCGATACTGCAAATTTTTTAACCATTAATCCATTTTTTGCTCAAGAAAAGTATTAAAGGAAAATGATTACATATGATAAAAACCCGGCTAACATTACTGTCCACAAAAATAGTCGATATTACCTGATCCTTCGTTTTTCATATGAGATTTTTTCTCATACCGTTTCCTTCTATTACTACGACTACCATCAGAAAACCAAGTATTTTTAAGAATGCCATTTGCTGTTTCACAAGATCGAGAATCGATAGGCGGCCATGGACTGGATATCGTTGCTTCAATGCAAGTTTTATTAAATACTGCACAATAAGCAATACGGGCTCTTCATATTCGGTTAGAATGAGTGCTCATCGATTTTTCAATTTTAGCTAAATCCCAGTTAATTAGAAGAAGTTGCTTGAACTCAGATATATTGAGACCTATAAATATGTTTCATTTAAAAAATACAAAAAGTTTGAAAAAGAAAAATAGAGGCAAAATTTCAAACTGCTTACTTTTACCTTTTGGATAAGGATACGCCTCGTCACCATGTACATAGACCCCACCACAATATCCAGGACAAGTAAACATTGTATTGAACCAAACATGCCCTAGCTTCTCTCGATCTTTCTGTAAATATGATACATTATCAGAACAAACAAATTTATCAGTTGCATTTTCCATTAAAGCCCGGGTTTTCTTTTACACCAAAAATATATAAAAATTCTCTTCGAGATGAAATCTCACAGTCTACGTGTCTTAATGAATCCCTTAAAGCTTCAAAATTTATAAGGCAGTCACTATTACCGACATTTTCTAAAATTAACATACATTAAATTTCTTCGACAAGTAGCTATAAACTGAATATCGTTGCTTAAATGCAAATTTTATTAACGATATAGAAATATGCCTTACCAAAGTCCATCCCAGACCTTTAAACCACTTCTTCGCATAAAAATCAATTCGAACGTCACCTTCCATGAATACTCTTTGCGTCGCTGGTACACTCCATCCATAACATCGCCTATTAACCAATAAATTATTTTATAAAACTTTTTATTTGAAAAGAAATTTTTCTTAGGTTAATTAGAAAAGCTGGAAATTAATATACCTTGAAATGCAGTCTTTACCCGGTTGTGGGTCATAAGGATTGAACTGATCTTCCCCTACAGAGCATGGATACTGTCCCCATAGTGCCTCCTCTTCATCAAAATCCCGACCACTTAATCGAAGGGGTCCAGGAATAAACACATCTATATCGCCATTAGCAACTCGCAACCGATATGCTCCATC